GTTCCAGCAATCTGTGTGGAAACTGTGTGACTGACAAGGAGCTGACGGCTGACATTGATACAACTGGGTGACTCAGAAGAGTTGTATATACACTTTATATACCATTCAATAGTGGCAGGGTGATTTAAAATGGTTTTTAACTACCCAGGCTCATTGGAGATATTCAATTCAAGTTATTTGTATATCGCTTTTTACAATGATTATTGTTTCAAGACTGCATAAGATAGGACAAGGAAATGTGGTCATTCTGTGGGCACTTTTTTACATTTAATGTGGAACTTTTATTTGGTGGCTCCATTCTGGACAAGAGTTATTCAAAACCTGGAGAAATGGCTGGGACAACCTTTACCTTATTACCCAAGAGTCTGTCTTTTTGGTGATACAGATGTTACTACTTCAATGTGTTCCTTTTGCCGCCATTCATACCGCGGCGACGCCGGTAATTGATGCGCCAGCAGCATTTGACCGCTGGGTGGCACTTTAACCACAGATATTCAGCTTTGCCTTTTCACAATGCTAAACAGACTGTTCTGTAGGCGTAGCTTACTGTATGTGATGTGATGTGTTCAATTAAAATATTATTTTAATTTAGTTTTTCTGGTAATAGACATGCTCTTACACTATACTGTATGCTGTAGAAAAGATCTACTTTACAGAATGGAATATCTAAAGCACAGGCTGGGCTAGTCATCGCAGGATGTATAATTGCTGTGAGACTGGTGCTGCGGAATTGGAAGAACTCAGATACTCTCTCTTTTAAGGACTATATTGAGCTAATCACTTCTACTGCATCATATAAAGGTATGTTGGCAAGACTTCTGCACTCCACCCATACTATTAATCAGAAATGGCGTAGCTTTTGGCAATATTTGGAGAGCACATAAGAGGAAAATTGAAGGCTTGTCAATTTGACTGTCTGTTGTATTGTATTATTTTATATGTTATATTTGTTATAAATTTTTTTTGCTATTATTTTTATTATAATTTGTTTACATAATTTTCCTGAATGTTGATTTTGTATTGTGAATTGCATGTTGTGTGGGGTGTAAAAGTTCAAATAAAATAAAAAAGTTGTTTCAATTGTTTCAAAGCAAATTGTTTCAAAGCAGCTTTACAAAAGATGCACATTATTGCATTACAAACAAATTAAGTTGACGTCACAATCAAATAGAAAGTTATTATATACAGATATAGTTTATTTGCACTGTCTGTATTTTGTACTGTCTGGAACCAGCACCTAAGCTTTTCACTCATCATAGCACACGTGCTGTTGATAATGAGACAACAAAAGTGATTTGATTTGATTTGATTGCTAAAATTCGCTGTGTATATTTCTGCTATTCTTACTGTCCTCATCATGTTGCCGGTTCGCTTGTCGTGCCAAATATCAGCAACTGACCCACCCACCTACCCTTTCCTAAACCCAATCGATAAGTGTTTTGTAAAGCAAACAGAAAAGCTATCGCAGGCATTTGCATTTTAATATGCTTTTACACTCCTATTTTGGGTTTTGTTTTACCTGGTTACCTTTGCCGAACTCAATTACTGGCCTGCGCTGCTCCGCCTCCCTATTAAACAACTAAGTAAACCAGTCCATGCACAAAAGCTGTTCATACAGGAGTAAGTGGTGAGGAGAGTACGCTGGAGAGGCCGTTTTCATTCTGAAACGCTGCTGCTCCGTCTCAGTGTGGATGGGGAAAGACGGAGACATCTGAAAACGGAGGCGGGGCTGCAGACATTCGCCTCTCTGATTGGGGCTTTTCCTCAATATTAAGTAGCCTAACACACAGTTCAGTCCTGAATCTTCTCCGTGTAAGTTCAGACTTCGCAAGTTTGATCAAGGCTGCATCTCTTCTTCTCAGTTTGATATGGAAAACATACCGAGGTCACGCGTCAATCTTCACGGGGAACATTGTACTTTATAACTTCATTCACATCACCCTGGCTACGTTGTTTCACTTTCTCAACAATAAAATGTAAACTTGATAAGGAACTGCCTATTTTTAGCAGCAGAAATGTTGAGGCGTTGTGCTGCCTGAGCGTCATCTTCACTGTGTGAATATTTATAACAAAACGGAGTCTATAACAACTGCCTCCTTTCAATTTCAGTAAAAATACGAAACATACCCTCTCTTTTGCTGAATATAAGTTTTAATAATCGATAATGGCCATTATAAAAGTATAACATACAATAAGTTTATACATTATAGGAAATAAAGGCAAGCGATCAGTCAATATACAGAATAGGCTACGTGGTTACATTAATCATTAACTTATCTTTGCGCTCGGCCAAAACACGTTACCTGAGAACAAGTAATAGATTCCAATGACCAAAGTCAGGGAATATGTCGTTAGATAAAGACAACAAGATGAATGAAATATCACGTTTAATAAATATAGTGAGATTAGATCCAGCAGGAGATGCTTGATGAGAAGTCCGACCAGCAGAGCTCTCATCTGGGTAGATGGGCTGCAGCGCTTGCCAAAGTGTGTGTGTGGTCACGTGATGTGCGTTTTCACCGTTTTGGTGTGGACGGAGAGCTGTTCAGAAACGCTGGGTAAAACGCGAGTGTGGATGCATATCGTTTTCATTCTAAAAAGCCATTTTAAAACTTAAACGCACTAGTGTAAACGGGGCCTTAGTAATGAGTTGTGGCTGGAAGGGCAATCGTTGCGTAAAACACATGCTGGATAAGTTGGCGGTTCATTCCACTGTGGCGACCCCTGATTAATAAAGGGACTAAGCCGAAAAGAATATTAATGAATGAATATTAATATAGGTGTACACTAAGATTTTTGACTGTGATCTTAGATTTTTAGTTAGTTCCAGTTTTGGATTTGGCACTGACTAATCTAATGTATATGCACAAGTATATCATTACAACGCATCTGGTGGAAAATGGTAATTTAAAGAGAGATCTATGAGGGATACACTCATTTAGGTTATAACACGGTATATGACAGTGATTCACACAGATTTGAAATATACTTGCGGTGGAAGCCAGATTAAAACACACCTTTTACCCACAACACATAAATGGTCAATAAAAATAATGTGAATTTTAACTATATATATATTTTTTATTATGACACTGTTATACACCTTTACTTTTTAATGGGCTAAAGTTATTTAAAAAAGGTTGTTGAAATAAAAGAAATCCACAATTTCTCTCTTTTTTTATGCTATTTAGGAGCCATGCGCACCCACTGACATGACTCTCTTGCTTGACATTTACAGTATCACCAAAGCCTTTTAGATATGTATAAAGTATGTAATATATTAACATCATTAATTTAATAAAATATACAGCAAACGAGAAATAATTTCAGAAAAAAAAATATAAAAATAGAAAATATAGCTAAAATTATTATAAGTACCAAAATAAAAAGTGTAGATTTTTTAAATAAGGCAAATTAGTTGCTTAGCCATTTCTAACAAATATTTTTTTGTAGCCATATAGATGTCATTTTGTTCTCTCCAAGTATATGGTAACGTTTATCCGAGTTGTTTATTAAATGATTCAGCAGTCAGCTGCGATAAAAGGTAATGCAAAAACGCATACAAATTGCAACAACTTTAGAAAACGAAAGTAATTGATCGGAATTACGAGATTCGGAAACTACGGTCAGACGCATTTTGGAGGAAAAGGTGCATCTTTGTTGGTCTGCAGAGCACGTGAGATTGTCTGTGTGAGAGACAGATCGTGCACACATAGAACCAGCAGTATAGGAAACATGCAGAGCGAGAGAAGATTTTTCACTGGTCAATTTATCACGAATGTTTGACCTTCTTATACGGATACAAAAAAAACGTAAAAGGATGATAATAATAGTATTATTTATGTGTCACCACCAAATATACTTAGCATATTGTCTTTGGACGGCAAGGAGGGACTGTGATTCAAAGCAACGGCTCCTAAAAACGCAAACGCATGCAACGGGTCACAACAGCAGACAATCCACTAGTTCATGTCATTCGCCAGTTATGTAACAGAAATGTAACAGTTAGTTAGTGTTTGGCCAGCGACGTGCAGGAATTACACTTATTAATAAGCCATACTTACATGCTATTTCAGAGTGAATATAAACAGTATGGGAAGGCTGCCATTGTTCAGAAATGAACCAATGTGGATAAAAAAGCTACTTCAGCTCAATAAGGCAGGTTAGAGGGAATAGCGCTTTTTACTGATGTTTTGTTGTTAAACTAAATAAAAATCTACATCATCACTGCTGTCAAAGGCCCCTTATGAAACTGAAAATAGTCACATCAATCTTTTGCCAGGAGATTTCAGTGGCTGAACAACACGTCTGTGCATATAAGCCATTCATAACACAACACAATCTAACATAAGCTCGGCCTGACTAAAATAGTTTTAAAACAGAACATTATCTAACAGTAATACTTCAGCTATGGTGTCGTCCTTCCTCCAGCATGCAATAAAGTAACTCCAATATTGATTCAGAACTTTTAAAAGTTTTAATTCAGCAATTGATTTCACCGCGTCTGTGATTGTCTCGTGTGCACATGTGCTCATGCAGGCGGGCAAGTATGGCGGATCTGCGTGAAGTCCAAATCTGCATTTGCTGACAGACAGTTTGAGCTACTTATCGGAATTATGGGAGATGTCGGCCCGACAATATTTAATTGGATGATTTTTTTTATTTTTTTATGCCTTATTCAGAATATACAAATGCATATAAACACATTTAGATCATTTACTTTAACCATTACTATTGGACTGTGAAGAGACTTTCAACCAGCACAACAAAAAATGTTTCTGAAGACAATCACTTGCTGCACCTTTAATATACCTGGGCGGCCCACCCAAGTAAAGGCTATGTGTGGAAAGCACTGTATGCTATATACAATAATATCTGAATATGGATTTTAGATGGTCTGTTTACTGCATTATGTATGACTGACTATTATGCATCATATTTAATTTAGTATAATTCAATGACAAATGGTATGCAGTGACTATCATTATTGTTTCACTTACCCACAGCTAGTTTCCAGCAGACTGTCCCCCACCTGTAGGGATGCCATGCCGAAGTCTGCTATCCTGATGTTATTTTTCTCATCCAGCAACAAGTTTTCTGGCTTCAGGTCTCTATGACTGTACAAAAGCACAAAGAGGAAGAAAATAAAACATTCATATGAGATATGAGAAACTGTGCCATGACGGAGTGAGCTTCATTATGCATAACATTATGTTTCAGCAACTCAAAACTGGTTGTGTCTATGTGATCCTTTTCAATTATCTGTTTCTTCCCACTATTATCTAGTCTACAAGCCCCTGTGATAACAGATGCCTGCAGTGTCAGGGTCCAAGCACTCATCTGACCACAGGTGGACACAGGAGCTGCTTCCGACCTTCAAAATGAATACGAAAACCTTCTTTTTAATTAATTTTCTGCCCAGATTTTCACAGTGTGAAGCAAGATGACACTGTGTCAAAGATTTTGAATCACATTCCCATTAGAAAATATCCATTAAATATGCGCGCACACAATGCAATGAGAAACACTGCACTGACTCCACCCACCTGTGTCAGATTAAACAGGCAAAATGACAAAACTGACCACTGACTTACCATAGCAATAGTGGTGTATGGAGAGAAAGATGTATAACAGGGCATTTTGATGCAATTGACCCATGTTCTATTGCAGCTTTTGCTAAAAATAATGTTGTTGTTGTTGATGATGATGATGATGATGATGTCGTTGCCATTTTTCTTATCACATCCATTCCCACAGATTTCTAAACTTCACTCTCAGATTTGTGGCCCCACCCCCAGCTTATGCTGGCAGATATAACCAGCCATTTTTAATTATTATTATATTATAACATACTGTTTTCATTCATTCATTAATTGTCCTTTAAACACTGGAAGGACACTGGGTGGAAGGAAAAACGTCCGTTTTGATTTCAAAGGCATTTCCTGAAAATACTATAATTACAACTCTTTTTAAAAATGCTAAGAACATAGGCAAGGCAAACTTAATTTATAGAGCACAATTTTATACAACCATAGTTGATCCAAAGTGCTTTACAATAAAATAAACAAAAAATAAATAAAATAATTAAAACTGGTATTTAAAATGTAAGAAATAACTCATTTCTAATAATGGATTTATTTTATCTTTGCCATGATGACAGTAAATAATGTTTTACTAGATATTTTTCAAGACATGTCTGTACAGCTTAAAGTGACATTAAAAGGCTTAACTAGGTTAATTAGGTTAACTAGGCAGGTTAGGGTAATTAGGCAAGTTGTTGTATAGCTATGGTTTGTACTGTAAATTATTGAGAAAAAATATAGCTTATTCTAGCCAAAATAAAACAAATAAGACTTTCTACAGAAGAAGAAATATTATCAGACAAACTGTGAAAATGTCCTTGCTCTGTTAAACATCATTTGGAAAATATTTTTAAAAAAGTAAAAAATTTGAAGGGGGCTAATAATTTAGACTTCAACTTATATGTATAAAGGTAATACTAAAATACAAATAAAATAACATGCATGCGTCACTCAAAGGCAAGAGAGAAAAAATAAGTCTATAAATTAGATTTTAAAGCATCCAATGAAGTAGCAATCCTGATGTTCAGAGGGAGACTTTTCCAGAGCCTTGGGGCCGCGACACAGAAAGCTCGATCACTCTTTGATTTACAGCGAGACCGAGGGACAGACAAAAGAAACTGGTCATGGGATCTTAACATTCTACAAGCTACAAGTATAAGGCCTAATAAGTTCACTGACATAGGCCGGGGCAGAATTGTGCAATGCTTTATAAGTGAAAAGAAGGATTTTAAAATCAACTCTGAATTTAAAGGAAGCCAGTGCAATAAGACAAGGACAGGGGAGATATGATCTCTTAGTTCCTGTTATTAAACTGGCAGGTGCATTTTGGACCAACTGTAACTGAGAGAGTGTTGACTGAGGTAGACCAATGAATAAAGAGTTGCAGTAGTCTAACCGAGAGAAGATTAAAGCATGTTTTACGATTTAAATTTTTTTTTTTTTTAGAAATAAATGGCTTAACTTTTGCCACCAACCTATGCTGGAAAAATTTTGTTTTTGCTACAAAATAATATACAGCAGGGAAAATAGGTATTGAACATGTCAGACGAAGGCGCAAACGCATTAAGGGCGTGTCAGAACGCACTTTTGCTATTATAAAGATGGAAAAACCCGCTCTGCAACACTGCGCATGGTCTGACAGGTTTGTGCTTATCTCCTAACTTATTAGTTGAGTCTCATCTCCTATTACCTTCAAGAGTCAGTTGCATTGCTCTTTACATAGTATAAAAAGTGATTATTCATGAACTGCTTTTAATAGCTACTGTATTTCCACGTGTATTTCCAAGTGTGAATAGCTGTACCCAAACTTTTAGTTTAATTCTCTAGTTTGATGCAAACAATAATTTTTGTTCTGTTTTTTGTTTCTGTTTTAAATTTTTTTATTGTTATATTTGCATCTACGTAGGGTATTTTTATCAGTTAAGAATCTGTGAAGAAGTCAAAACAGAATGAGGAATTTCTCCTTCACAAACACAACTTAAAACAAGAAGACACGTCTCTTATGAGTGTATTGCAGTGGTTACAAAATACAAATTCCTTTGAAAACTTCTTTCTTCAGTAGATTCCCACAACAAAAAGCCTCTGTTTGCCAGAGTACAGTGATGAGTAATAAAGCCATCCCACGTTTCTGTTGAGCTTATGAACATTATGGAACAATTTCTAACCCTTTAGTAGTCTTGGTCTCCTTGTTTGGTGTGCACTGAGGTTAGACTACCATGCTTATTCAAATAGCCAAACAAGTATGAACTGAACCCTATGCATTTAAAAAAAAAAACATTTAAAAAAAAAAAAAAAAAAACATTTAAATTAAATAAACAAGTGTAGGATTTTTGAGTTATGGGTGGGTGGGTTGTAGGATTAAAGAGTTATGGGTGGGTGGTTTGTTGAATTTTTGAGTTGCTAGCTGGCTGGTTTGATGGTTGGTTGGTTGGTTGGATGGATGGTCGGAATGTTGCATGGTTGGTTGGATGGTTGTATGTTGGTTGTTTAAAATGTTGTATGGTTGGTTGGTTGGATGGTTGTATGTCGGATGGTTGGATGGATTGAATGGATGGATGGATGGCTATGGCTAAATATTCTTTAGCAGCCTAATATATATAACAAATAGGGTTGCATGATATATCGGCCGCCATATAGTTATCAGCCGATAAAGCTATTTTTAGGAATATTGTTATCGATCCGATGTCTAAATTAGGCCGATATCTTTAAGCCAATAGATTATGTAATTGTACAAAACTGCCTGCCTCGCACACGCGTGGGCGAAACTTGTTCAGAATTGTGAATCCAGCATAGGGGCTCTCAACTTACCGCCTAAGTCTGTTTTTACATTATGCTCTGTGTTTGTCTGTAAAGTCATCTGCTCAAAGCTCAGGTTTTATATTAAAATCTGACTCTGAGGTCAAATATGCACCCTTTATCATAAATCTGCGGGTTATCATAAACTTTTCATCGATCATTTTTCCCGCAATTGCCAGTAAGAACGAACATATAAGCATTGTCAGATCGACAAGCAGCACCTACATGTATTTAAAGAATCTAAAATGCCAAAGGAAGATCTATGCCGCATTTTCTAAAGTAATACAATCTGAATTTAGCTGTTCGCTTGTATGGTGGCTCTAAAAAACACCTCTAAAAAAGGCTTTTCGGCCATGACATATTTGTACATGTGTACATCACTGTAACATGTTTTATTCAAGAACATTTGAGCTAGTTTGAGCATTTTCGTCTTATTTAAACTATATTTAACTTGCTTGTTGATTAAATCCCATTTTGTTATTTAACCTATTATTTGTATGCAACATTCAAGTTGCATGTTAATTTGCTTTGATGAAAAGGAAATAGTTTTTTTTTTGCATGCTGATTTATGTGTAATCGTGAATATAGGTCTATATAATCACCTTGCGGTTTTGAAATTAAAGTTTTTTTGCTTTGAGTATAGACTATTCAGTTCATAAGAGCAGTTCAATATATTATAAAAATATAACATTTTGAAATATTTATAATTATCAGCCTATATATATCAGCTATCGGCCTCCAAGTCTGAGGAGCTATCGGTTATCGATATCAGCCATAAAACTCATATCCCCAAAAATAGTTAGAAGATAATTGTTCATCTGTTTAAGAGAAAAGTTACCTGCTAAAAACTTTGAAAATACTACATGAAAGTGACACAAAGTGGACATAAAAATAAAACACATTTATGAACTCAAATCTCACATGAGCTAATAAAACGGAGCATAAAAAGATTCATACCACAACAATGTTCATGAGACAGTCTGCAGAGATAGGGTTTATTAGCTGTCACAACAGCCACATCCATAATGACTCTTTAAAGTCACTTTCTGACACATTAATATGACCTAGATATCATATTCTCCCCTGAACAGTTTGTTGATTAGTGGTTGACTATAAATTTTCCTAATTAAATAGTAACAAGGTTAATTTGAACCCCTCTTCTCTGCAGGTTAATGGAAAAAAGGGAAAAACAAACTGCGTGTTAGTTTATTTGCTGTAATAAAACATTCCCTGATGTTTTTGATAGTATCAGGTTTATATTGGCCACTGAAGGCACTGAATGTTTCCCCTAGTCAACTGTAAGATCTTTATTTGCCCTGTGATAGTTTTAAAATTTTGTGCACATGGTTTTGTGTTGTTTGATGATACAGATCTGCATTTAAATGTTGCTTCATTTAATTTTCATGGGTACCGTCAAAACAGCAGTTCTGGCTTAAGTGCCCCCTGCTATAAAAAACTTCATAAACAGTATCTGTTTAACATCTGAATGCATAAGGTTTGCTTTATTTATTCTTGCAGCTGAAAAATAAATGGCCAGAGACAGGTCAAGGTTGGTTTTTGGTGCCTATAAACTGGCAACAGAAGCTCCTCTATAGTAAATCTGAACCCAGTGGGTGTGATTTTGCCAAGTAAAATGTGATCCTGAATTAACATCTATGTTGATCCTAGAACATAATTTTTGTTTGAAAATGTAATCCATATCTATTCCCTACCCTAAACCCAATCATAACTGTAAATTGTTCCCATAATCAGAGAAGAAAAATAGCTGGATAATAATCATGTAAAAGTACATAAACCCAATCACAAGTCTAAACATAGCTTAAACTGTAATCATATTACACTCTTAAAAAAAAGGTTCCTTAAGGTTCTATATAGAACCTTGGGGTTCTATACTTGGCCAGTAGAACCTTTTACCCAAAAAATGGTTCCATTTAGAACCCTTTGACTGCAAAGAACCTTTTTAATTAAAATAGTTCTATAATTTTTGAATCATAACATAATTATGTAGTAAAGATTATGAATTAATTATAAGTTATAACACAGAGAGACAAAGCTTTTTGAGTCAAAACCTAATAAAACGAATGCTGTGGTCAAAAACTTAATCAGTGTACATTATGATGGGATTTTTTTTTATGCAGGTTTGTACAATAGCATATAACTTAGTTTAGGCCTAGTTTATGTTTAACATTTTTGACAAATTATTTTGTGAAATAAATAAAATGACCAATTTATTTAGACTGTGCAGTAACATGTTGTTATGGTTTAATAATTTATTTGAAACTAATAATCATAAAAAAGCCCTCTGGTGACGTCAGTCATTGACAAGGACATCGTCATGGGCCAGTGGTGAAGAGCCTCGAGAGAAGGTTAATTTTTTCGAAAGGAGAAGTCCACTATTTCAGCTTCATCATTCAGGTATGTTAGTAAATTTAATATATATAGTGAAATATTTTGTATTATGAAGTAAGGTTATTTGAAAGAAAATCCCTCGTGTTATATGGTGATACAGATTGAAAGGGGGCAACTTTAGCGTTAATATGGATAAACACTGTGCTTGATGACCTCGGTCCTCACCCTTCGGTTCAGAAATCTGTTAAGTTGAATTTGTTCTGCTTTTTATTCGAAATAAGTTACAATATCGCTATACTTGTTTGTCAGTACTACTAATTAAATTACCGATAACAGTACACAGCTGTGTTATTTGAAGGCGAGCTTCGAGAGAGCGTGAATGAAGCATGTGCACGTTATTTTAAAATTAACTAACGTTAGATTTGAGCCGATTTCATTGTGTTTTTCGTGTCGTTTTTAGCTCCAACCTTGAACAAACGCTCACTTTTAGCTTGGTTCGTGTGTGTTGTATCAGTGATTGAGCTAAACTCTGCAAAGTAGTGGACATTACTGCCCGCTTTTTAGACGTTCCCGCTAGTCTGCATAAAACCGCAAGATAGCAGTGCACCGCTCGTGCCCGCACAGGCAGATTCGTGCCCGAGTCTGTGCACGCGCGGGAGGCCAGTCACGGTGGCAAGCTCTCCCTATGGCCAGTCCGCCCCTGAATATTATTGAAACATTTAAAAAGCCAAACATATTTTAACAATCCATAGATGAAAGATCAGGTCTTATTTAGAAAAGACACAAAAATGCAGAATAAATTTATTGTGAAATTATATATATATATATATATATATATATATATATATATATATATATATATATATATATATATATATATATATATATATATAGTGCAAAATAAGTTTAAAATAAATATTTTTATGTATATTTTTTTTTCTTCAAACAGCCTGGAAACTGAACTGCATCATAAAACTTGTGCTTGGTTTCATTGTTTTAAAATCCAAACAAAATGTATTGTGGTCAGTAAAATGAAATAAATATTATAAAAGACTTCAAGATTGTATTTATCATTACAGAAAAGTGTCATGGGACCCATATTAAGTTTCCAAATTTGATCTGCTGCACACAAGTAGCTTTGAAGAAGAAGGATCCCAGCTTAAATAAAAACACGTCACATCCATAATTGTTTGACATCCTCTTCAAGCACACCTGGTAAAGTATTGTATTTTATAACATGCATAATTCAGACTTGTTGGTTGTTGTGTACTGAAATAATATATTTATCACAAAAAACATTCTATTACTTACTACTGCTGTTTTAATACAGTGAGAATATTAAGGTCGTTGCTTAAAAAAAGTCCTGCAGAGAAGAAATATGTATTGAAAGGTGTAAATTTGCCTACAGGATTCCTTGTTGCAATGTCTTTAAAATAAATGTAAAAATTAAAGGATTTCAGTGGTGAGCTCATAATGATGGGATCAAAAGGAAGTGAACTGGACTCTGAGGGACTTAACACAAGGTAAGTTAATTTCAACACATTTTATGTCAAGATTAATTCTGTGATTTAAATTTATATTTACACATTCTACAAATGCTGTCTTCCTACCTCAGATTGTGATGGACCTAGAATGCGACACCGTTTACGAATAAGTCAAGAACCAAATGAAACACTATTTTCCAGAGCGCAGATTATGGAGGGGTCTGCAAAACTAATGGAGCAGTTTCTTCTTCTTGGAGTGCCACAGCTTGTGAGTAACCAAACACTGTTACATTGTGTGCCAAATAGATATGAAAAATCTGTGCATATGACATTTTAAAGCTCATTTGGTAAAGCAAGGCATTAGCAATGCCAAATGTGTTCCAGATCACACATATTAATAAATGTATAGATTAAACACAATCTAAGTCCCTTTGGATAAAAGTATCTGCCGAATATGATGTATGTTATTTGATATACAGTTATTTTGTTTTGTTCTTATTCTAATTTTATTGTTTTATTTAATGTTCATACTGAATTGAGGTCACTCAGAAATGTCAATTTCATTAAATTCTGTAACAAATGAAGTGCAGATTAAATTGAAAATATATTACAGCTGTCTACACTGTATTTCTGTATTTTTGATGACTTTAAAGTACTTGTATTTCTGAAAATGTGTCACTTGGAAACTTACACAAAGTAAACAAAATGTTTTAATTCAGGATGCTGCATATAAGGACTTAGTGAAGAACACAGAAACATCTTTAAAATAAATGGCCCAATAGAAGGGAAGGAAAGAAGGAAGTACTCAGCATTGAAATATTGTTTTACAGAAATCCAAAGGTCCTAACAGCTCTCCTGATTCAGTCAAGGCTTGAAGTGTCAGCATTACGATGGCCAACACTCGCTCACTATCCTTCTGCTCCCTCATTTATCAGAGGCACCACAGTAGAATGAATTAGCAATTAATCTTCACTTTCCAGCCAACCCAGCACTGGGAAAAACCCATACACTTTCTCATACACATGCACACATTCACTCACTGTGGCCAATTCACCAATACCGTACGCATGCCTTTGGACTGTGGGGGCAACTGGAGCACCCAGAGGAAACCCACACAAACACTGGGAGAACTTGCAAACTTCACACAGAAACACCAACTGACACAGTCAGGACTCGAACCAGTGACCTTCTTGCTGTGATGTGACAGTTCTAACCAGTGAGCCACTGTGCCACCCATGGACAAAACTATTTACGTTTTAAGAGAGGCCGGCAAACATGGACATGTTACAGGTTGTGGAATGGCTGTTCTCAATGTTTTGTCTAATCATTTTGCAAAGTTTTGTGTGCGATTAAGCTCTTTCTTCAATAACTTTTATTGAAAATTATTTATAAAAATGGATGTTGCCATGACCAATACATACATGTACCGTCAACTTGTTGAAATTGTAGTGTTTTTTAATAGATGTTTGTGTATTGTTTTTATCTAAATTGTAATACATTTTTCATCATTTTAGAGATGTTTGAAAGTTAAGTTTTGTATTTGTTCAATCAGTAAGCGAGCTTACAAATGTTTATTAATAAGTGAAATCATTAGAATTAGATTGTTGAATGCCATTAAGCTGTTAATTATGTTTACTAATTAAATAGTAAAAATGTATAATGTTTAGAGGTAGATCTTATACAAAGTACGCAGAGGTGCAATTTCAAATATTATCTAAAACTTATTTTGTGAAGTAAATTGAATAAATTTAAACAATTTGAATTTTCTGCATTGGTTTTATTTTTTATTCAATAATAAATAACATTAATTCAATAATAAATAAAGAACCCTCAAATGGTTCTAAATAGAACCATGTAACTTGAATTCAAAGAACCATTTGGGGTTCTATTTAATGAACCCTTAAATGGTTCTATTTATAACCTTTTGGGGGTTCCATATATGAAGCGCTTGATAGAAATCATTTCAAGAGTAAAAGAACCATTTGGGGTTCTATTTAATGAACCCTTTAAATGGTTCTATTTAGAACCTTTTTGGGGTTCCATATATGAAGCGCTTGATAGAACCATTTTTGGTTCTATATAGAACCGTTTCTTTTAAGAGTGTACTTAATTCCTATTGTTTGATTGGAATGTTGTTCCAGAAACATGTCCCACTTGTCTAAATCCCACTAACTATCTGAACCCATCTCATCCTACCCCATTTCTGTCATCTCTAAACTGCCATTTATTAAAAAGGTAAAAAAAAAAAAAACTTGATGGATGGATGATGGACAGATGAATGAATGGATAGATGGATAAATGGATGAATTGATGGATGGATGTATAAAATAAAATTATAAAGTGAATGGACAAAGTTCTTTAATTAAATAAAATGATGAATTTTTTTTACAAGTATGAATGGGTGAACGAACAAATGAACAAACAAACATTTTTATTTACAGGGTTAAAATAAAAACATAATTAATTCAATATTTTTAAATTTATATATCAATGAACTGAATAGGCAAACAGTATAAATGATTTTTTTATTAACACACTATATATTTAAAAATGTACAATGTATAATTAATAAATCAACAAATAAACACCAATTAAAAAAAACAAAAAACAAAAACAAGAGCTAATACCACCAGCAGGGACTATTTATTACCAACTCTTCTGTTGTACATTTATTTAGTTAGCCAGTCCTCTGTTCCTTTTCCACCATATATCACCCTGATCCATAGGCCCAATTAGCACTCAAACAAGCTTTACATTATTGTGATGTATAAAGAGCAGCAGGCGGCACACGCAGCAGTACATTAGCGATCTTTACTGCATGCTGTTCACAGCGGTCCAATTATGAAAGAGTGTAATTACAAAACATGTATGTTTACATGTTTAGTAGCGCTTTAACTTTACTACATGCTGGTTATTTGAAGTTAGCTAATTTACATTCCTGGTGATATTTGCCTTAGCAGTCGGGGAGGGAGTTGAAACAAAGAGGCATATATAAAACCAGAATCTTTGCACTCTTTAATGGTATACAATTGAAGTCAGAAATAATAGCCCCCTTTTAATTTTGTTGAAACCATTTTAGGGTCAAAATTATTAGCCCTTTAAGCTATATATTTTTTCAATAGTCTATAGAACAAACCATCATTATACAATAACTTGCCCAAGTATCCTAACCTGCCTAGGTAACATAATTAACCTACAGTAGGTTGAGCCTTTAAATGTCACTTTATGCTGTATAGAAGTGTCTAGTAAATATCTAATAAAATATTTTTTACTGTCATCATGGCAAAGATAAAATAAATCAGTTATTAGAAATAAGTTATTAAAGCTATTATGTTTGGTAATGTGCTGAAATAATTTTCCCTCCGTTATACAGAAATTAGGGGAAAAAATCAAACATGGGGGCTTATAATTCAGACTTCAACTGTACATCACAGAGATGTGGCATCCGCACCAAGTTGGACACAATTTCCAACCAGCCTCATGTCAGAATGCTGAATGCTAAACTATCTGCACAGAACTAACACATTAACAAATACTTAACATTTCTAGTCTAAAACAACCTTCTGCAATTTATCTCAAAGAAAGGAATAACTGCAGTGAAAATAGCTAAATATTTGGGAGAGTGCTACTATTGTGACCAAATTGTGACCATTGTAGGGTAGGGGGATGACCACACAGCAGCAGTGTTGCCAACTTTGTCGCAATATTTAGCGACATGTCCAACACTTTCTCACACCAATTCAAAATTTTCTGACTTATATACTTACTATAGATAGTTGGGATTAGAGGTGGGTTTTGGTCAACCCAGACTCACTGTAGATACATAATTAGGTCTACATTTCAGGGGATAGGGATATACGTGACCAAAGTTACGCCTTCTTGCGGATTTTGTATTTGCAAATCCACCAGAAGCTGCTGTGTAAACTTCTGCATCCTCTTCTTGCATATATTCACCAGAAAACACAACATACACTACCTAACAAAAGTCTTGTCGTCTATCCAAATTTTAGGAACAATAAAATAATAACTTGATTTCTAGTTGATCATTTGGTATCAGAATTGACTTATTATTGGCCTCTAAAATAGGCTCATTTTACCAAAATAGAATATGATCATTCATTTTGAATGATTTAATTAGGACAGTAAGGTCTAGCTTAGAAAAAAAAATCACTTAACTGAAATAATTTACAGTATAGAATATAAAGCCATGGTGCAGTGAAAAAAATAATAATATTGTGTATGACCCCATGAGCTTGGAAGACTGCCTCCATACATCTCTGCAATGACTCAAATAACTTATTAATAAAGGTCATCTGAAATGGCAAAGCAAGCTTTTATGCATGACTGTCAGAGTTCATCAAGATTCTTCGAATTCTTTATCAATGCCTTCATCATCTTACAATAGACATGCTCAATAATGTTCATGCCTGGTGACTGGGCTAGCCAATCCTAAAGCATTTTAAACTTTTTTGCTTTCGGGAATTTTGATGTGGAGGTTAAAGTATGACAAAGAGTACTATGCTGCTGAAGAATTTGCCCACTCCTGTAGTTTGTGATGCAAGGGGAGCACACATGTCTTGATACCCTTAGGATGTTGATGTTGCCATCCACTCTGAAGATCTCTCACACAGCCTCATACTGAATGTAACCCCAAATCATGACTTTTTCTTCACTAAACACGATTCATCATAAAAATCTACCCTCTGCCATTTTTGCAAATAACCAACTAGAAGTCAATTTATTACTTGTTGCTCTTAGAACTGGAATCAAAGATAATACTTTTGTCAGGTAGTGTACACTTCAGCTGACCAATCCAGCTTGCCGTTGACTGACTCACTGAACAACCCACCCACCCCCTTCCCTACAACCAACCGATAGTGTTTTCAAAAGCAATCTAGAAAAAGAAAAACCATTATTGCCACGTGATTTCAACACTTTTTCAGCCCGTTGTTCACTTATTTAATTTAATTTTTTTTTTTACATTTTGTTTCACCCGGTTTCTGGTACTATTCTTTGCTGGACCTGAACCTGGTTGTCGAGGTCAACTCCGCTCCACCTCCCAAACCCACTGACATACACAGTGAGCAACGAGAAAACTGGTAACACTGGAAAAAGCCATGCACACAGAGGTAAGCGGCCAGATGATACATGCAAAAATAAGCAGAAGCCATCAGCAGCATCATACTGCCCCTTAGCAATTGTTTTTAAGACAAAATGCACCTCTGGCTACATAATTCGTGCTCTACAGAAATGTAGACAGGGGTATGTACTGTATCCCCAATGAGCCTATGTTGGATTTGGTGCCATGTCTCCTTTTAAAAAATCATTCATTTTTGTATGGCTAAAGATCAACCACTAAATCATGAGCAGATACAGTTGAACTTTATGATGTCAGCAATATGCAGATTTACACATGGTGTTATCTAGTGTCATATTGCAACTTTTTGAGCAGAACTTAGCTACTTTATATTGAAAATACATGGCAACACTGCACTGCAGATGCCTGGAATGCACACGTCAGCTTAAAGGTTGGATCTTTATTAGAACTTCTGTGCCCTTTCAAATTTATATTGGCCCTTTTTGGTAGGAAAGATATGATTGACAAGAAACAGAAAGCCTTTTATTAGTCCAGAAGGCAAGACACCCATTGTGACCAAATTTTTCAACAAAAAGCCAAACATGACGATTACCACTACTAATAGACAAGACATCAAACCCCCTCAAAACAAGAGATAACAGTAAGATCCAGCACAGCGGTAACCTACAGAAACCATTACACGGGCTGAAATCTAATTCTAAACTTTCTCCAGTGGCACATAAAAACCATATAACACAGTTGTGCACTCAGAAAGTCAAACACTAGAAGCAGAGAAAGTGCATTTGTGCTGATATAAGATTCGTAAATGATCTCCCTGTGACTCTTATTACCGCTAAGGGGTAGCAGGGGTGCTACCATACA